AAAAAAAAAAAAAAAAAATAAGATTAAGCTGTAAATCTATTTATAATTTTCATTGCCCTATCCTGAATATCGGTTAAGATTTCTTTTGGAAAGAAGAAAATGGAACTTCTCTGGCCACTGTTAACAAGTGGAATCTAAAAGTGTTTGCATCAAATACTGTAGAAAAAATTAAATTTCGAAGATAAAGATCAAGAACAGTAGCATTACTACGCAAAGAAAACAAACTTAAAAATAAAACTTAAAATTAACCTATGGATCTGAAATATAAGTTGTGATTAAAAATGAATTAATGTTAAGACTAAAACTGGAGATTATTGTATCTGGGACAATAACAGTTATTTACAGCAAAATTTAGAAGAAGATATCAAGCTTAGTGACATTCTGCTCACTTGTGTAAACATGACATGCAAAACATGATTAACAGCCAGCACTGTATAAAAATAAAATAAAGACGTTTATTATGATACCAACTGGTTTGACAAGAAAAATTTAATACAAATACATGTTAATGTATAAATTGTGATTCTTTTGAATACAAACAAGTTGTTACCAAAAGAACAAACAAAACCTCAGTAGCTGTAATAAAACCCACCCCCGAAAGTTAGTGCAGTTATATGGAAATATTTATACCGTGTTCTTTTACTCCCAGAACCTACTTTTAAGGAACCAGGATAATGTAAACAGAATCTCAAAATATAAATAGACATATCTGTACAAAGTTGTTATTGAAGACACGTTTTCCAGTGTATAAATAAATGCCTAAAAATGAGGCTATAAATAAAGCAAAATACTGAAGAACTCCATTCTTTCATTTTAGAAAAGAGGACTTTCTGAAGACAAGTGTTTGAAGTTAAGGCACTAGGACTTCAGTAATGTCACACATTGGCATGATCAAAAAATTGTGATTAAAGAGTTACCACTCTTAGACAACAGTACTCGATAATATGAAAAATAAACTAAGTTTTCTCAATCACAAAAATTCAGAAACAGAAAGGTGACAAAAAACAAGAAACGAAGAAAGGTGAAAGCTGCATATTGTGTTTCTTTTCTACACAGCTATGCTTAGTCTAGGAAAATCTGGCATAGGCAAGCTTCTGGTGGCATCCAGCTGGCTATATTCCTGTATGAGTGCTGACAAAGATGACACAGCTTCTGAAAAAGAGCTTTCTTCCATCCCTTCAACTTGTAGATAGTGATGCAGGTGAGCCTATAAATGAAATAACATTTACCATTTCAGGAATTTTAATATACTCAACTATCCTATATAGTAAATATTCTTTATTAAAAGTATACTTCATTCAGCTCTACAATGGAAAGAGAACTCGTGTCAAATTTAATATACATTTTGGCTAAATCCTATAAACTCAGAAATTTCTCATTTAGAGTTAAAATAGCACAAGTAAGCCTCTCTTCTTCAGTTGTAATCAGTATGACAATAGTAGACAAGATCACCCAGTTTGTAATAGTTGTAATACTTAAGAATACATTGTAAATAGCCAAAATGAGCACACACAGTTACAAGGTGTATGACAATCACCTTCTTTTTGTAGAGCCTCATGAACCGCTCTCTCAGGTCCATGAAGGCGGGCTTTACACATGTGTTGTTTGCTAAAGCTAATAGTGAATGGGAATGGCCCACAGGAGGTACTGAGCACAGGCTGGTCTTCCAACCTTCTTGGTTCCAGGAGACAAACTGTAGAGACGGCTTTAATCTGAGATAAAAAAAATCAAAGGTAAGAACTAAGGTACTAAACATGTCTGCCACATTACAGTAACTCACACTGTTAAACAAGGACATTACTGACGGTATCATTCCAATTGCTTAGTTTGTAATGGAAGTTATCTGCTTTTTACTACTAGCAGTAACATGGTATAGTTTAACAGTGAACTAGGACATTAAATTGGTTGATATAGTGATTCAAAAAGCTAGATGCCCATTCCTTAAGATGAGAAACCTGGAAATAAGACAGGACGGTATTATAATTTTCCTTACTTGGTAATTCAACAGAGCAGTTTTCTTTAAAATAGACTGCCAGTAAATAGCAAAACATAAGCTTAGAGGCAGTGTAGCAGCAGTAGTGGTGGTGGTAATAAAAATTACATTATCAGCTTCAATTTTCTGTACACTTTCATAAAATAGAACATCTTATATATCATTTAATACTCCTAAAGTAACAACTTTGTCCTATTTAACACTTATTTTACACTTGAAGAAAATAAGGCACCAGTGGGCTAAGGTCATGCTTTATTAAGTGACCTGCTAGGATTTGAAAAGAGGCAGTGTTAGCTACTATGCTACATATAAATTATCTTGAAAAATATAAACCAAACCTTTCAATATTTCTGCGAAGATCTGAAATCTGTACATTTCCTCTAACCATGAGGGCACACGCGAGATAGAGACTATGTTTGGGGTCTGCCTGAATTAGCTGGTGATCTTTACTAAAGGCATCTGAAAACATCTGATCCAATCTAGAACAATAAAAAGAGTCACTGTTTAACAAAATATTACTTCTTTCTTCCATGTATAAGATAAAAAGACAGTCATCTATAGCAGAGGTCCCCAACCCTTGAACTGCAGACCAGTTATTGGTCTGTGACCTGATAGGAACTAGGCCACACAATAAGAGGTGAGCAGTTGGTGAGCAGAGCTCTGCCTTCTGTCAGATCAGCAGCAGTATTAGATTTTCATAAGAGTGCAAACCCTATTGTGAAGTGCACGTGCAAGGGATATAGGCTGTGCGCACCTTATGAGAATCTAATGCCTGATGATTGATGAGCTCCCTCTCGCCCTCTTCATGGAAGAACTGTCTTCCACGAAACGGGTCTCTGATGCCAAAAAGGTTGGGGACTGCTGATCTACAGGTAAATAAAGTTCACACTAAATATTATACTAATATAACATCAGAATACATTACATATATTCTAAATGTTAGATTATATATTCTAAATAATTTAGTTCAGTGTGTTTATCTACTTCATAGTATCTGAACTAGCAAAACTAAGTAAAAGCCTACAACATGAAGACTTTGTAAGATATATCATAAATTAGTTAAGAACAATGAGGAAACTAGCAAAGGACAATGTGAAGTTCTCCTAAAAAAGATCAAACACTGCAATAGTGTTCCTAAAAGGGGAGACCTGTAACAAGTATTTTAACTGAAGAATAAAAGACAAGTCAAATGTTGTCTTTTGCCCTTCAGTTAGAGAGAGGCAAATAAAGGTAACTGATGTTTACATCTAACAATGCAGACTCCTAGTTCCTTAATATGGCCCCACATTGATTCTTAATTCCCATTTACCTTAATAAAAATATGACTAGGTTCCTTAGATAATCTCAGTTAGAGTTTTATGTGCTGAATCTGCAGAATGTCTGCAAAGAGCTACGGAAATCTGTGGGGCCTAGTTATCAGCTATTTACTAAATATCAACATGTGCCAGGCACTACTCTAAGTGCAAGAGACCTAGCAGTGAACAAAGTAAAAATTTCCTGGCCTAAATGAGCTCATATTCTATACTGATTATCCTACAGAAGGAAGGCTAGAAGGACTCCCTGAGGGACAGGTGACCTTTGGGAGTTCATGAATTCTCTGTTATTATGTTATTATGTAGTGTGAGGTGCTTTAGGGCATTTTTATGAGGTCAAGGTATAGATATATCATTAGAGATGGAAACCCTGAAAAGATTAAGAACCACTACACAACAAGCAAACTCACTTTTGAATTATCTTCTTGTCTCGTAAAATACAAAAACATGTAAGAACTTTTTATAATTATTGGGATACTTACTTTTATTTGTGTGTTTATTACTGATTTTCTTTGGACAAAAATGGACTAGATACAGAACTGACATTCATTAACAAAGTCTAAAACCAAAACCATTCTCACTTATTTGAAACTAATTATAAGAAATTGAAGAGAGTCTTGAAACTGTGCCTTTTAACAGTACAATGTTAAAACAACAAGGATAAATGACTGTTTTCAAATGCTGACATGGCAGCCTTTGAAATATCAACAGTAGAGTATAAGTAAACAAACCAATAACCTCCCCGCAAGCTCCACAAAGAACACTGTGATAAACTGAGCCTAAAAATTTTAAAATTCTCTATAGATTTTCGGAACACATTTTAGTTAAAAACAAACCTTTACCACAAATAGTAATCAAAATAAAAAATGTTAACACATATTATTTTAAACAAAATGTACCAAGTAGGGTAACAAGACATTCAAAAACTGACTTTAAAATGTTCAGGTTAAAGACCAAAACATTTTTTTCTCTTTTATTCTGAACATAATTAGAAATTCCATGTCTTTATTTTTCAAGACTTTGTAATATAAAAATGTCTGAATTACCACTAGTGTACAATGAACAGCTTAGCACCAATTTATGTACATGTGTCTACATTAAAGGTACATGTTTGATTTAAATATACTAAAATCTAATATGCATGGCTGACTCCTGTGGATACGTAATGATCACTCTACTGTTGATATTTCAAAGACTGTCATATCAGCATTTGAAAACAATCATTTATCCTTGTTGTTTTAACATAGTACTGTTAAAACAAATCTTATTAATCTACCCAATATAAGCATATGAGGTAGGTCCGCTTTCATTTTTTTTTTTGAGTTGGAGTCTCACTCGGTTGCCCAGACTGGAGCGCAGTGGCCGCTCCCGGCCACTGTAGCCTTGACCTGCTGGGCTCCGGCGATCCTTCCACCTCAGCCTTCCACGTAGCCGGAACTACAGACATGTGCTACCATGCCTGGCTGATTTTTTGATTTATTGTAGAGATGAGGTCTCGCTGCCCAGGCGGGTCTTGAACCCATGGGCTCAGGCAATCCACTCACCTCAGCCTCCCAAAGGTGCGGGATTATAGGCTAAGCCACTGAGCCCGGCTATCTTTCATTTTTACAGATGAGAAAAACTAAGACGAAAAGGTTAAGTCACCTGCGCAAGGTCCTGTAGCTAAGTAAGTGTCAGAATAAGGAATCAAACTCCAAAGCATGTTTCATAAACCTATAAATTTAATCACTATATTTAATTTTTAAAAGATTAACACTAATATTTTAAAACAATTCTAAATAAAGAAGCATTCATCTAATGAAAAAATAGCTGTCATCAATGAGTATTTTATATACTTATCACAAATAAAACAATACAAAAAATAACTAGTTATTGAAAGCATTTTTCCTACAAATGTTTTTTTTTTTTGAGTAGGAGTCTCACTCTGCCGCCCAGACTGGAGTGCAGTGGCCGCTCCCGGCCACCGCAGCCTCGACCTGCTGAGGTCCAGCGATCCTTCTGCCTCAGCCTTCCAAGTAGCTGGAACAACAGGCGCGCGCTACCATGCTGGGCTCATTTTTGATTTATTGTAGAGATGAGATCTCGCCAAGTTGCCCAGGCGGGTCTCGAACCCGCGGGCTCAGGCAATCCACTCACCTCAGCCTCCCAAAGGCGCGGGATTACAGGCTGAGCCACCGAGCCCGGCTCCTACAAAAATTTTTAAACAGTAATTCAAGTCCTCAAAAAATTGAAATAAAGTTACATCTTACCTTCGAGGAGGAATGCTAACATCTGCCAGTGTATAAAGAGGTGTCAGGCTTGACACAAGATAATGAAGTTGAGGAAAAGGAACTAAGTTCATGCTGATTTCATTAAGGTCCATATTTAGGGACCCTTCAAATCTTGCAGAGCTAAAAAGTTAACATTAAAATGATGATGAGAAAAGCAAAAACTTTAAAAGCACACATTTTGAGCACAGCCTGACTGATTCAGCAGGCAGTTTCTCAAAATTCTTTTGTACACTGTTCTTCAGTGAAGAATATATGCTTTTCTGTATTTGTGAAATATAGTATCAGAAACAATCACATATACACATACAACACCATGCAACATCTACAGCAACTCTTATTTCTGGATGATATATAGGGCAACCAGCATACTGTTACAGTTGCTCACTACGCATATATTTTTTTTTTTTTTTGCTCTCCTCGCGCAAAAGTATCTTTTTTAAAACAGACTAGGTATTTGGGTTAAACACATATAGGTCAATACTTGTTTAATTATTCTAGAAAATGCTGAATTCTGCAGAGTCTGCTTTATCCACTCTATAGTCTGGAATATAGTCTCAAAGTAATCTCTGACACCAGAAAGTCACAAAAATCTTTGGACCAGCTCATGAGGAGATACAGATTTAAACCAGCTGGTTAAAAAGATGAAGACAATCTACAGCAAAAAAATATGCTTACTTTTGCCTAACCAAGTGTTACACAAGGGTGACAACACAAAACCTTTTCTATCATACAACACCTACTAATCTTCCATGGACTGTACTTGGGGAAATGCTGCACTGAAGTCACAGAAATTAAAATTCTATTCTATTACTTCAAGAGATGAAAATATAAGACAAAATAAAATATAAACAAAAAGCTCCTACAACTGAGAATAAAAAATGCTACTACAAAAACTCATAACCTCGTCAAAAGCACAGGTAAGTTTCTCAACTCTCCTTGGATAGAATACCTTGTTAGGTTGAGCAGCAAATTTGCCACAATGTTGTTCATTGCATCAAAGGGCTTCTTACACCGTTTTTTTAAAGCCCCGGCACTTGAAGTAACCAGACTCTTTGGCTTCACAGTTGTACCCAACTTTCCAGAATTCACCATGAGGTCAATTTTGCTGATGATGTCAAATAAAGACTTTTGGGGGAAAATATTGGGAGAGAAGTTACTTAGGAAAATGGACATACCAAGAAAAGTGACATTCTACCAGGAAAGAAAGAGAAACAATTTGAACTTAGGTTTTCTCTGAGATAAGAACACTAAAAAGTGAAGACAATGTTTCAAATAAACACACAAGGATAACACAGGACTGATTATATATAAAAATTGTCCATAAGTTCTGATGTAATTTCTTACTTGATTGTCAATTGGCAGCACACAGTCTGCATGCTCATTAAGTTCCTTCATTGCCAAGATGCTATTATAAGGTGAGGTTATGACATCATCCTCATGGGAAGGATAAATGGAAGTCACAAATCTGTATACTTCTGGGAATTCATCTTCAAGCATCTTTAAAAGAAATGTACCAAGTCCAGATCCTGTTCCTGGAGATTTAAATTAAAAAAACAAAAACAAAAAAACCATAAATGATTCAGAACTGTGAGGAACCTGAAATTTTTTATTTGTAGAAATAATTTTCATTTCATGTGATTATACATATTAACATATCTAGTTTCAGATTAAGGAACGAAGGCAACATGAGTGGTGAGGTTTACAGTCCTGAATTCCATTTCTGACTCTGACATGAGTGTGGGAGGGCTTACTATATTTCACTATTTTTTCATATTTAAGTTATATGATGCCACAAGAACAAATTTCTACTTTTTTTTTTTTTTTTGAGTTGGAGTCTCACTCTGTCGCCCAAACTGGAGTGCAGTGGCCGCTCCTAGCCACTGCAGCCTCGACCTGCTGGGCTCCGGTGATCCTTCCGCCTCAGCCTTCCAAGTAGCTGGAACTAGAGGCGTGCACTACCATGCCCGGCTAATTTTTTTTTTTAATTTATTGTAGAGATGAGGTCTCGCCAAGTTGCCCAGGTGGGTCTCGAGCCCGCGGGCTCAGGCAATCCACTCACCTTGGCCTCCCAAGGTGTGGGATTACAGGCTGAGCCACTGAGCCCAGCTTACAAATTTCTTTAACAAAGAAATTTCTTTAAAAACTAAATTTCTTTAAGAAAGAGTTTTCACAAATCAACAACCAAAAAAGCCAGAAATCATGCAAATGAAAGATGGGGAAAGGATAGAAATATGTAACTCATAATAAAAAATAGAAATGGAGAACAGAAGTGAAGATGTTCAACTTTTTTTCTAATTAAAGAAATGCAAATTAAAATCAGATGTGATTTTGGTCATTTTAGACAGACTGACATTTCTAGTATGCAGTGTTGGTGACAGTGTAGGGAAATGGAAATGATTATACACTGTTGCTAATAATATGCATTGATACAATGTTGTAGGTATATTAGTAATGTCAATCAAATTTTAAAATGTCTGTATTCTTTGGTTCCATCTTCCTTTCTAGGAATACTGCCAATAACCATAGTAGCACAAATGCAGAGATACAGGCATCAGATTTTCACTGGGGACTGTATGTAATAACTAAACACCATAAATATCAGTAAGAAATCAACTTAAAATTATTATGTATTATATATATTTTTAAAATATATTAAATATTATACATATATTATATATTTGATTCTATGAGTGAGAACAGATATGAAAAGATGTTCAAGATATAAAGTGAAAAACGACAGAATAATATGTATTGCAGATAATACTTAGTGAAAATGTACATACACATTTTATAAGCATAGTAAATACCTGGATAGGCATAAAAAGACCCTGCAAACTGGAATACCTGTTAGAAGAAGGACTAGGAATTAAATGTGGGAAAGAAAAACTTTACCTCCCAAAATATTTAAATTATTTTTGCCATTTTCAGTGAATTATAAGTATATTCTTCTGAGATGTTGAGTAACAGACAAAATTTTTTAAAAGGAACCACAATGATCTATAAATCAATTTTTAACAAACTTTAAATCAAGTTTTCTTGGATTACTGAAAACTTAACTCAAATTTGCAGGTTAATTATACTAGTATAAAGACAAATTGTTTCCTAATGCAATGATTACAATGGTCTTCTAAAGGCCTGGTTACATAGCAATTATAACTTTAATTTTAAAATGCTATGTCAGTGAATAATAGGTATGTATAAAAATCAACTGTAAATAACCTGCTGAGTATAAAATCTTAATCTCAGTTTGAAGAAACAAAAGCGTGACAATTTTTTTCTTTTAAAATTTGCTAACCCTATCTATTTCATGGAAAGGGGAGCAAAATACTTTAGTTCTAAAGTACAGGCTTCCCTGGGGTTCAAAGTAAGCAATGCAGATCACATATTTCTAGTTCAAGTCTTTTAAACAACTTAAAGAAATTGACTGAAAATTTCGATTGCTCTTTTTTCTCTTACTGGAGACAAGAAAAGATTTGAAGACAGTTAAAGAAAAGGTACTGAAATCCCTTGGCAAGCACACATATGAACGTGCCAGAAATGCTTAGCTCCAGTTACGAAATAGGACTGTATAAGCACACTCTGAGGAGAAAGTAAGCATTCTTCAAAAGTTCACATGTCCTAAACTGTGGCTAAAAATTTTGTAAAAGAAACTAAAGGTACAAGAAAAGAAAAATTTCCAGTATAGTTCTATTGATTCTTAAGAGGGGCTTACATTTTTAAAAATTATTAATAGTGACACAAATTTTTAAGATGAAGTGCTGTTGTATATACTCAAAAACATACACGCCCTGAACAGTTCTATCTTTATCAACCAAAAATGAATTTCCACTGGCAATGAGTGAATAACTTTACCTCCTCCCATGGAATGTATTACAAAGAAACACTGCAAGCAATCGCAGTGCTCTGCCGACTTTCTGAGTTTCTCTAAGATTTGGTCTTGGTAAAGTCTGCCAAAAACTTTGTGACCCACAGCCCTGAAAATAAAAAATCAGATTTTAAAAACCCTTACAGTTATTACTTTTTGATTTTATTATTTCTGATGTGAATAAAAAGATTATAAGAAAATTTGAAAAAGCATTTTTTATTGCACTAAATAAAATGTTGTTTCATGTAAATAAATCACATTATAATATCCTGAAGAAACTAGATATAAAATTTAATATTCTATATCTATAATCCTCACATATCCTCATTAGCAATGGGTATTAAACTATAATTTTCTAAATGTACCTTCTCAACCTTTCACCTGTGGTAGAATTATAACAAAACAGGATTTTAGTTACATAGGTTTTTTTTTCATCTTTATTTAAGGTAAACTCTGAACTGCAGTGGATATTATATATATGGGCCTGGCTCAGTGGCTTGGCCTATCATCCCAGCACTTTGGGAGCCCACTGGTTTGCTATTAGCCTGGGCAACTTGGTGAGACCTCGTCTCTATCATAAATCAAAAATTAGCCGAACATGGTAGTTCCAGCTACTTGGAAGGCTGAGGAGGAAGGATCACTGGAGCCCACCAGGTCAACACTGGGGAGGCCGTGAGTATGCCACTGCACTTCAGCCTGGGTGACAAAGTGAGACTCCACCTCAAAAAAGAAAGAAAGTAACAGAGACACTGAAAATAAACAATTTTAAACTACTCTTATGAGGAAAAAAAAAAGACTACATTATGTCACTAGATAAAATGGCACAAGGTAGAGAATATTCACAAAGCTCTGCGGTCTTTCTGGCTGCCCAGATTTGCAAGTGTAGATGATGAAGTAAAAAAAAAAAAAGAATGATTTTCCCATAACATGTAGTCAGGAACAACTCAAGTTACACAAAAAGTTACACAACAAATAGAGAAAAGCCAAGCAGGTGGTCAGGTGGGCTCACTTATTAACTCATTTGTGACCACTGATGTGAATTTACATCATTCCAAATTCTGTTCCTGGTTGCCGCTGACATGCATTTACCTCATTGTGGAAGCTGCCTTTTTGGGTTTATAATCGGAATAAAAATACAAAGTACAGAATGCTAGTCAGAGGGGTGTCTGAGGCAAATACTGGACATGTCTGCAACTTTCAGCTGTACTGTGAAAAAGATGAAAATTTAGAAAAGACCATTTCACTTGTGCTTAGCAATGGAAGTTTGTGGCAACCAGCTTCAGATTTTTAAAATTTTCACCCACTCTCAGTATTAGGAAAGTGAAAAATGTGCCGCTTGTGAGTATGCTAAGTGACTGGTACTCCCACAATTAGTCTCCTGGAACACAAGATTCATGTTCATGTGTTAGTAAAATGATACTTCGGTCCATTTAATGTACCCAGAGACTGGTTGCAAATAGTTAAAATATTATTATTAAAATAATATTATTTACAGGATTTGCAAATAATAAGGAGCTTCATTTTTGACAAACAGCAAAACAATCTCAATGTGAATTCTTAAATAATTACCACTGAAACTTTTCCCACTAAAAAGAAGAGACTCAGACCTAGGCTCAGCTTGAATGCTAGGACACTGGTCTGGTTTGCATTTCTTTATCAATTCTGTTAAATCTGACCAACTGGGGACCTTGGGAGACAGTCAAATGATACATGAAGAGCACAGTTTATAAAAGTACTTAAAGATTTTGTCACTATTTACTGTTCTGCAAGAACCAATTTACAAAGAGGAATTCAGCAAATTAATTTTTCATCTTTTTCTTAAAAAAATAGAAGTGGGAGTAAGAGTAAATACGCATGGCCTCCAACCACTGTGAAACATCATCGTTTACTGAGGAAAAGACCAAGGGCTGAGGCCATGTGTAGCAAATGACATCCTGCTTTCATGTCAGTAGACCTATCAGCATGGAAGTAAGACTACTTGTTTGTTCAGATGACATTCAACTTTTATGTTCAGCACGTTCTTACCAATTATTTCCTGAGCCAGAAATATCAGTGATGAGCTGCTTGCTATCAAAGACATCTCTCAATGGTCCCTGCAGAATTTCATTCACTACCCCTTCTTCCATATCAATCAAGACAGCCTGAGAAAGAAAAATAACATTTAATTACTATAGTTTCCCACAGAGTTATTCACTCTGTAACTGAAAAGAATTTATGAGCTAAAAGTTGCATTGTTCTTTTAATAGTTTAAGCTTAATTAAAATCTTTCTTTATGTAGAATCTGCTATAAGAATTAAAAAGGAATTTCATCCTGCTTGAAAGGTGGTCTCCAATTAAAAGGTAGATTCTCAATGCTTTTATCCTACTTCAAAATGCCAAGGGGTGGGGGAATAATTCCCCCACTTCTAGATTCTCAGAAATCTAGAAGTTAGCCTTAAACAGAGAAAGTTCTCAACACACGCAGGTGCATTCATACATCTTCTCACTAGAAACAGACATGCTGCTCTTTATGAATCTTAGCCTCAAGCTGTACAGTTCAAACAAGGACACTCACTGCTATGTGCAAGGTGAAGGCATGTCAGATGTCAAACATGACAACACTGTCCCTTCCCTCAGGTAATTCACAATATATTTCATTGCCACAAACTTAACTGACATGAAAGAAAGTCTATGCTAAGAAGAAATGAGAATATAAAACATAAAATTAACATGGGAAGAAAAATATAGTGAAATGTAATCAGGGACAGCCTGGCAGTAGGGTAATAGGTCCCCTCCTCCTACTTTGTGATCCTTCACTTTCTATTCTTATATTTAGTAGTGAGGAAGAAAGTACAAAAATTAAAAAACAATGACAACAAAAAACCCCAAAAAGGAGTTTATAAAAAGCAAAGATGAAAAAAATTCTGAAATAACCCTAGAGTACACTATTAACTCTCTGATTCAGTGTCACAGAAATGCTTGGTTTATGGTTTAGTTCTATGACCATGTAACATTAAGCAGTTACTACATGCCACTGTTCTAGATACTTTATATGTATCAACCCATTTAATTCTCACAACCCTATGCACCAGTGTTATCCCCATTCTACAGAAAAGGAAACTGAGGCCTACAAAAGTTAAATAACTCGGCTATTATCACCAAGACAGGAAGAGGCATAGCTGAGATTCAAATCCAGCTAGGCTTGCTGCAGAATCTTAACTCTTAACCACCAAACTCCATGTGGAGAGACAATCAAGTTTGACATTTATAGAGTACTGTCTACAATAGTTACAATTTGTGCGCATTTAAATTTTGTGAATTCAATTATTTGTGTAATTAATTATGCTATTTACTGCAGGATATAGTTAAAACATTATAGTAGTATATTACATAGCCTATAGAACTGTCTTGCAAATATGTCCCTTTATATACAGCAATCATATATGTACTTTAAATACACTGGCCTGTATAAGGTTATATATTTGCAACTGTAGGGATTTTCAAGGATATTTCTGATGATATGCAGTTTTGACCTCAAATGCTGACTTTAACACCTAAACCAACCAAAGAGAGACATCACTGAATGGGCAAATTGTAGTACTACAAGTTGGGCAAGATTACAGAAGAAAAATTGAGCTCATACTGGTCTTGTTCTAAAGTAGACGTATTAGATAATCTGTGGAAGATTATGCCTATGTGTATCACACCCCAGGTGACCTGCTATCTGGCAAGGGAAGCCAGAATGCCAACTGACATTCAGGCACCTCCCGAGTTCTGATGGAGTCATTCATCCCTGCCGTTGCCACTGAGCATCACACACAATTCTCCGGCCCTTCCACAATCACAGCAGGCTCTTGTTTGTCTTTTGGAAATTAACTAAAGTTTGGAAGAATATTCTGGGCCCTTCACTTTGGCATCTAAGGTCCGGAGTCACAACTGTTCCAAGAGTTGATGTTTATGTTTCCTTCCAGAGCCACTTGGTGACAGCCTTCTGGCTTTGCCCTAATTGTAACACAGGATTTATAAAATTCGGAGTACTTATCTATTCAACTAAGAAGTTGAACACACCAAAGGTACCCAAGTAATCTTGTGAAGCCTGACTCTTCAGCAATCACAACCATGTAATACCAAGAGTTTCTAAGGAGAAAATGGAAGAGTATCTTCTCAGATGAAAAGCCAAAGGCTACAGCAATGCACTGACTCAGTCTCTCCTAAGTGTTTCCTCTACCGCTTACTCTGCTGCTGGAAACGGCGCCAGGAAAGAGCTAAAATTGGGAGTGGTCTAGGACATGTCAAAGTCTCTTTTTCTCTAAGATTTGGACTGGAATGCTAGCTCTCTCTACATCATTAAGTATCCTCTGCTAATCAACTGTCCCAACAGCTATAAGCACATGATGTCAACCCAAGAAAATCAGAGATCACAGACAGAAGATGGTTCCCAGGTGACGCAACACTGTTGCTCTCTAGTCTTCCATCCACAACCCCTCCTCTGATCCTTTACATCTCAATTCTTCTACTGCATTTGAACTGCCTTTTGTTATTGTTATGGTCAAAGATTACTGATCAAAAATCAGAAAAAGTAGCTTGCTGTAGAGAAACAATCACAGAAATGCTGTTGGAATGAGATTAAGACTATAAATAAGGCTAGAAATATGGACTATGGACTCCAAGTGTTTTGTTCAGGAAAACTTACATGCCTGTGGAATTTATTCACTATAATGTGGCTGGCTCTATGCTTTGTATTGGTAGTAACCCTGATGCAAATAAATACTCCATTATTTTTAAATAAAAATTTAAACGATATTAGCACGTAATTCAGGTCCTTGGAGTTAATAAGGTTCCTTTTGTTATCATTTGCCTAGGCATCTATTTCCCCTGAAACATTAAAAAAAAGTCAAATACACAGTGTTTTTACTTTAAGTACAAACTATCCCCTTAACATTTTAGGTGGACAAATGTCTGCTTAGTTATATTAAATGTGGCTTAGTAAATTTTAGTTTGAGAAGTTAAATTAAAAGTTTACTGCCATGATAATTAGAGTGATATTAAAAACATGTAATGTAAGAATCTAAGCATATATATATCTTACTCGTGCTTTTAAAGAACATATTTTTCCCTTGGAAATATTGCCACCATCACCATCCACTCTGAAAGATAAAAAATGAGAAAAGGTCAGAAGATCTTCCATGGCTAACAGGGCTAACAGGTAATAAAGTTAGCTACCGTTAATAAGACTGCCTATAGGCCAGGTGGCGAAGACACAACAGCCATTCCTAACCTCTTCCTTCCTTGTTTAGGCTAAAAAATGAGGTTGTTTATTTTCATAGCTTTTTCTGTAGTTAAGGCTGGCCATGCAACTCAGTTCTAACCAATGAACTCAAGAGGAAGTATCCTGGGAAGCTTTCCTGATTAAAAAGGACCAGATGTAGCTGGTGCCAACTTCTTCCTTCTTCCTGCCTCAAACATGAATATGACATTACCGTTTATCTAGACATCTATTTCTCCTGAACATTTAAAAAAAATGCTAAATATACAGTGTTTTTACTTAAGCACAGAAAATGTTTTGAGTGCTTAAGGTTTTTTAACCTTTTTTTAAGTTAATTTTTTTAACTTAATTTTAACTCTCTCCTGGAGTCATAAAGTAACAAATATGAGACAAAAAGTCAGTACTAAGGGTAGTGGATCAATATCCAGTATCTAGGTCTTTGAGGCATTCAATTACAAGATCTGTGACATGAGTTGATACCTTTATTGCTTATGTCACCATTAATCAGGTTTTGTGTTGCAGCCAAACACAATCAACTGATAGGTCAGTTATATACCACTGAGACTGTTGTCAGAATTTTGTGTTGAAAATAAGTTACCAAAGTACTGAAATGTACAACCAAACACAGCATGAGTCAATAAAGACAGTTCAAAAGAAAACAATATATAAAGGAAAGCCCGGTTAGATACAGATGATACAACAGATTAGGATTGGTAAACTACAGTTCTCAGGCCAAGTCCAACTAAGCTGCCTGTTTTCCTAAAATAAAAGTCTTATTCAAATAAAGCCACACCCATTCATGTATGTACTAGCCATGCCCATATTCATGCTACAAGGGCAGAGTCAAGTAGCTGTGAAACAGACCTCACGGTTTACAAAATCAAAAATATTTACTACTGGGTCCTTTACAGAAAAAGTTTGCTAACTCCTGCTATAGGCAAATTCCTATCATGCTTCTAAACAGGTATAATCTTTGATTAAAAAAAAGTGTCCACAAAGATATGGTCTCATTTTTGAAAAAGAGTTTTTGTGCTAACGTGTGGAACAGATGCTGCATGTGTCGACAGCACACAGAAAGAAGAGCAAGATGCCATACCCCTTCTTCCCAAACTGATGGGAGCATAACACTTTCAGGTTAAAGTGTAGACACTTGGAGCAGAGTGGAGTTATGTGAAATCACCTTATTAAGAACGGAACCCTTCCAGGCTGGGTCTCAACCCTGTAACACTGTAAGGGGCTGGCTGTCAGGAAGGATGGAGGCAGGTGCAGGAACTCAGCAAGGGAGGTGCCCCCTCAGGAAGTGTCACAAAGGCAAACTGGAGTCTACCAATAGCAGTCAGAGGTGAGAATATTCTAGGCCACAAACAAGAGGGGATCCAGTCTATATGACAGATATCCCCATGTAACAAAAATAAGTGATGCTAGCCATTAAAATTATACACCTAACTTCCCTTGGTCTGATTCCATGGTCACCTGGCAACCTTCTGATATTTATGTAGCTTCTCAAGAAGATTTCCTACAAAAGACAAAGTGCCGGTGACAAAAAATTATCATCTGATCTTTGGTTAACCTGACAGTACTGGAGAACACCGAACCCATTCTCAAGGTGCCAGTGAAGTTTCTCTGTTTGCAAGCCTGAGCACTCAATTCACCCAGGAGGTGAATAATTTTGCAGGAGACCCTGAAATTAGGAAAAATGTTGAGACCAAGGTCTTTGGCCAGTGTTTGGGTTTAGTGTATATATGACAGCAACACATGCTCTCCCTAGAAGACAATTACTCAAATACCCAGCCAGTGAATTTACTGGAATAGAAATGGAATTTCTATTGATTTATATTAAAGCCTGATATTAAGTACATATTTTTCAGTTTAAGACTACTTGTTAGTTTCACGAAGTATTTTAAAAATGCATGAACTTAGTGATTTAACATTAGACACAATCTAAATGTCAAATTATTTTTTCAGATAAAATTTACATGATACTTACATATACTCTTTATTAAACAAACAAAAACAATCTGACAACTGCTTGTCTCCTTTTTAAGCACATTCTCTACTAGAGGAAATATGCAAACAATATATTTTTCTTTCAAAAGTTAGTCATTACTGGATGCATTAACAAGATAACCTCTGAGAAAGTTTCAGCTTTCCTTCAGTAAAACTTATTTCAGAGTTAAGTTATAAGAAGCCATACTTAAAGGAAAACTTGTCCTATTCTGAAAAATATGAGACTATCAATAATATAAGAATGAATATGCTTTAAATAATGAGAAAAGCAACAAAAAAGCCAGACTACTTCACAGCTATCAACTGTTTTTATATCCCTCTGAAGAATTCTCTCCTAATTTGCTGAAACAAAAAGGATCATCATGTTCTGTGCCGTAGCTAAATTCCACCTTACCTGGTATCCACATTTCTAAAAAAGCTGCTTATGGCCTCATCATAAATTCCTTTCTAGAAAGAAAAAAAAAAGTATTAACAGCATTTAAGTCTTGCCTCTTTCCCAAATCAAAGTCTTTCCATTTTAATAATCCCGCAATACTGAAATGGCTAGGTATGTGGCTCTGATGAGAAAAAACATGTTCACACAATACTTCCACCCAGCTTTTCAACCTCTTTCTAGAGGAGAGCAAATGCCATGAGACCCACGGGCTAAGTTCAGCAAGGGGTGCCGGAGACAGGATGCCCCACGGGTCTGCAGAACAGGTGCATCCATGGCAGTTCTCTCTGACTTCTTGGCACCCCATTAAAAGCTAATTGGTTACACTGAGGACAACAATGGCCGCAGGGGTCAGCTATTTCCAAAGCACTTTTCACATACCCTAACTGCCTCGCGCTGATAAAGAGGAAACCCTAAGAATATGGGACAATGTCGACACCGAGTTCGGGTTTACTGTCCATCTGATGGCGACATGTGTTCGAAAACCACGACATTCTTTCCCGGAGAGACCCTGTCCAACTTCCAGCGGTCAGGGCAACGCGCAGACTGAAACCCCCGCGCCCGGCGTCAGGGTGTCGGGCTGCCCTCCCGGGTACCTGGTTGACCGCGGCGTGCTCCCCCAGCGCCAGGTCCCAGAAGCAGCAGCCAATCTGGTTTCCGCACTGGCCGACTGCGACCCGGAACAGAGAGAACAGAGAACTCGCATGACGCGGGGAATGAGACCGCCCACGCCGCCACGACCGGGGCCCCGCCCCCCGGTGCAGCTCACCCTGGACGACCACCGACTGGGTCATGCTGGCGCGCGACCGGGCCTGCGCGCCCCGAGAGCCCGCGCCGAGCTCCGCGTCCCACCCGTCACAGCGCTCTACGAGAGGGCGGTCGTAAGTCGCGCCGCTGCCGCCAGGCGCTGCTGTCGCAAAGCGCTTCTCTGGGCTCGGGCTCGGGCTTTCCGACAGGAGACTGCGCAAGCGTACTGGCGCCTCGCGTTACCACAGCGACTGGGCCTCAGCCAGCAGGATCCCCGCTGCCTCGTCACCATCTGGAAAGCATCGGCAGCTCGGGAGGCCGGGGTAACTGGCGGGTGGCGAGGCTGTGGCGCGGTGTTGCTAGATGTGTCCTCAGCGTGCTCAGGGCTGGCCGAGGCTGCGACTTCGGGCACCGGCTCGCGGCCCTGGCGGTGGGGCAGGTTCTGATGGTTCACGCCTTGTCGACGCTTCGTCTCCGCCCAATAGGCCCTTTGTTCTAAATAAATTAGTCTTGCAGATGCGCACAGAGACAGCCCTGGTAGAGTTGTCAGGGCACAGCCGGAACCAGGTGGCGCCACATGGCGACACACATTGCAGAGACCCCACCAGGATGAGTTAAACGCGGTACAGGAGGGGGAACCCCAAAACACCGGGATTGTCTTCTGGGGGGTGGGCCCTTGTAGTCCAGGCTTCCCCCCAGGTGGGTGTTTTAGAATCTGTCGGCGTCCGTGGACCCGCTAGCTTGGTGGCAGAGGCTGCATTCAGCCTCGGTGAATTTTTTTTTTTTTTGAAATTCTTTCAAGGCGTTTGCTCATTTCATCATGGGTGATTTACGAGCAGTTTTGGACACAAACAGCATGACCCCCCGTGCCTTACCCTCCCTACTCACCCCTTCTCGCCCCGAGCGACTGTTTTTTTTCCCCTCCCGATGATAAAAGTCCTCCAAGAGCAACATTTTGCCTATGTGGAAGAGGTGAGACAAAACACCGCAGAAAGCCCTAAAAGGCATCCACATGGAGTTCAAAAACTGTTCTGACAGTGGCTCAAGCCTGTAATCCCAGCACTTTGGGAGGTCGAGGTGGGGGGATTGACTGAGCCCACGGGTTCGAGAACAGCCTAGGCAACTGGGCAAGACCTCGTTTCTACAATAAATCAAAAAATTAGCCGGGCGTGGTGGCGCGCGCCTGTAGTTCCGGCTACTTGGAAGGCTGACGGAAGGGTCGCCTGAGCCCAGCGAGGTCGACGATAGGATGGCCGTGAGTGTGCCACTGCACCCCAGCCTGGGCGACAGAGTGAGACTCCAACTCAAAACAAAACAAAAAATCCAAAAAACAAAAACATTGTTTTGAGCAGTGGGAAAAGTACGTCGATAGGTGAATTGCATCCAATGGAAAGTGCTTTGTAGGAGACTGAAGTTTAAAGATGTAAGACTCAATACACATTTGTTTATAAATAAATTCCGGTGTTTTTTGAGGGAGGTCGTGTTGTGACCGAGTAAGTGAGAAGTCACGCCAGCAAGCCGAGTCAAATTAATTAGAGTTCTTTATTAACGTGCGGCGTGCGGGTCAAGAGCAGGCAAACACCAAAAAAAAAAAAAACTCTTGACAAATTGGTGCAGTTTGGTGACAAGCTTTTATAGGTAAAATTTGCAGTATTGGCTATGTAGCATCTTAGTAACCATAGCAACTATTAACTAACAACTTGGCAATCAAAATGGGAACTTTTGATTGTTAGGGAGCTTTGATTAATTTAATGTCCTAGGTATAGCCAGTGTTCAGAAAGTCCCTGGAGTTCTGCCATTAAGATATAGTTTAAACCAGGCTCAGTGGCTCAGCCTGTAATCCCGTGCCTTTGGGAGGCTGAGGTGAGTGGATTGCCTGAGCCCGCGGGTTCGAGACCTGCCTGGGCAGCGAGACCTCATCTCTACAATAAATCAAAAAATCAGCCAGACGTGGTAGCTCATTTCTGTAATTCCGGTTACTGGGAAGGCTGAGGCGGAAGGATCGCCGGAGCCCAGCAGGTCGAGGCTTCGTGGCTGGGAGCGGCCACTGCACTCCAGTCTGGGTGACAGAGTGAGACTCCAACTCAAAAAAAAAAGAAGATATAGTTTAAGGTAGTGACACAGAGACAAGGAAGAAGAATCATTACACAATGGAGTTACCTTGGTTAGGTTACTAACAGTATAAGAACAAAATATGAAAATGTAACAATGGGGTTTTGCAGAGCATAACATTTGATTTCAGTTAACAAAGGATACAATTACATGGAACTTATGGTTAAGGAGTTTTGTAACAGTTAGCAGGAAATGGTCAGCACTACCTGCCCAAAGGAGACAAAGTTGGGGGTCTGTGATCATGGGAATGTTACTGTAATCACACGTAGGCATTGATTCTTAGGTTAGGTAGGTAACTAAGATGAAAGTTTTAAACAAAATGGAGTAAGCTGGTTAATATTATTATTTTGCTAGCAGTTTGATTTTATTAACTGATTTAGCTCATTTCAGTCCCCCGCGTACTCCCAACCATAACTTGTAGGCACTCTGAAGGATTCAAAAGAAATTAGGACCTCGATCCAACTCCAAGAGACTTACAGTCTGATCCAAGGCATACATGAAATACTCAAAGAATTGTGACTTACAGTATTGTGTGGTGTTGTCTAAAAGTGCACTGATTCAGTGGATGAGAATGTAGACACGCAGACAGAAGTCTGGTGGGAGAGACGGGGTTAAAACTAGGGATGTGATGTGTGTGCAGTGTTTAGATGGTGCAGAGGAGGAGAAAATTAAAATGTCAGACATTCTTGGAAATTACCAGCCTCTCAAAATGGTCAAACATTTAAAAAAATACTCTACAAAAAATCCAAAAATTAGTCTGGTGTGGTGGTGCCTGCCTGTGATCCCAGCTACTCAGGAAGCTGAGGCAGAAGGATAGCATGAGCCCAGGAACTGGAGGCTGCGGTGAGCCGTGATTTTGCCACTGCACCCCAACCTGGGCAATAGAGTGAGACCCTGACTCAAAGAAATACTGTAAATTCAGACCACGCTTGGTGGCTCAGCCTGTAACCCCAGCACTTTGGGAGGCCAAGGCAAACGGATTGCCTGAGCCCGTGGGTTTGAGACAGCCTGGGGAAACTTGGTGAAACCTCAACTCTAAAATAATTTAAAAACTAGCTGAGTGTGGTAGTGCACGCCTGTAGTTCTGGCTACTTGGAAGGCTGAGGCGGAAGGATTGCTGGAGCCCAGCAGGTCAAGGCTGGGATGGCCATGAGTGTGCCACTGCAACTGCACTCCAGCCTGGGCGATGGAGTGAGACTCCAACTCAAAACAAAACAAAACAAAACAAAAACTGTAAATTCAGGCACTTCTTTAATGACATTAATATTTTTTACAAACATTCTGAGGAACTACAGAATCCTAGGAAGTCTTCTTAATTTAATAAAAATAAATTATACAGTATATGCTATTGATGTGCAGTAATATGAATATTCAACTAATTAGAACACCTTATTTCCCTACCAAGACAAATGAGTGTTAAAGCATTTCTCTGATAGCCGGGACCTATTCAGTGTTTATGTTGCTGAAGTTTTCCACATTTCCGTTTGGTTGTTTTTCAACTGAATACTTGTATCTTTTGCGATTGATAGGCAGCTTTTAATCAATCAAGAGTTTTGTGATAACTGGATTCACACTTGCCTTCTTATGGGGCGCCTAGGGTTAGGTGGGGGAGTAGTCTGGCAGTTCAGGTCTTGATGTTCAGATCCTGAAGTCTGAGCCTTCCACAGTTGCAGATCTTGGTCAGGTTTGTAGGCAATGATGTGAGTAGGCCTGTATCAGTGAGCTGTGGTGCCAGGTCATTTGATTTTCTGGTCTCTGCAGAGCACTACTCCTTACCCAGGACATCTTTATTCTCCAGAAGCCATAATAGGAAAGACGTTAAATTAAGAAAGTCCTAACAAGTCTTGCCAATAACTTCAGTCTGGAGAAAATCAGACTGAGAGACAATTCTGCTTAAGAGTCTAACAAGGTCGGACCTTACACACCAGTCACTCCAAGACCTCAGTGTTGGCAAGCCCAGGTCAGCCATATAGAGATCAGCTGCCCTGCAGCAGACTCTCTGGAGTCTCAGAAGCAAAAACGTCTTTGGCTGATATCACTGAGATTTTGGAGTGCAGTCATATTGGGGCAATAGCTGACTGACATACAGGGCGAGTAGATAGGACAGAAGTTCATGTGCTGAGAATGAAGAAGAGAAAACAACCATTGAGGATGATGCAGACTAGTACTAAAGAAGAGAGGGAGGAATGGAGGAAGAGAGGGAGGAACGGAGAGAGGGAGGATGCCAAAGACGGATACAGGACATGACCTAAAGGGGAGAAAGGAAAATGCTTCACATATACTTTGTGCTACAGAAGTTAATACTAAGAATACGAATGCCATAAAACAGGAGCTTAAACACAAGATGCTAAAATAATATACTGAGACTTACGCTCTACGAAGTCTGAATCTTGTCTGTTTTTTTCACAACTGTATCCCTAGCACCTTGAGCCTTGTCTAGTTTATGGTAGATAGTAAAGAAATATTTGAATAATAAATAAAATAAAATGGATATAATAGAATTAAGGAAATTAACTAAAGGCCAAACCTTAAAGGACTAATGAATAATTTTAAAAGCATGAGAAAGTAGACTTGAGAGATGAAAATCAAATTACAATGTAGAGGAAAGGCTTCAGATAATCACAGAGGATACTGAGGCAAAGGACAGACATCAAAGTTATTAAAAGGTAATATACATGAAGAAGACAAAGATGGCTCATCATGAGATTAATCTGGGCCCCTGAAATAGAGAACACAGTAAATGGAAGAAAACATGTACTTACTAAAAATAATGAAGAAAAATTCATAGGTTAAAAGGATACATTATGTTCTAAAAGAAAATTTCTATAGAATAATCAACACCAAGGGCTATATCCTGGTTAGGTTATTCAGTTTTCAGAATAGAGAAAGAGTACTGGCCAAGTGCTGTAGCTCACACCTGTATTCCCAGCACTTTGGGAGGCCAAGGCTGGAGAATCACTTGAGACCAGGAGTTTGAGACCAGCAGGGGCAATATAGCAAGACCCGGTTTCTACAAAAAATAAAACTAACCAGGCATGGTGATGTGCACCTGTAACCCTACCTATATGGGAGGCTGAGGCAGGAGGATGGCTTAGGACCAGGGGTTTGAAGCTGCAATGAACTATGATTGCACCATTGCACTCTAGCCTGGGCAATAGCCTGTCACTAAAAACAAAAATAACTTTAAAAGCAATAATTCTTTTTTTTTTTGAGTTGGAGTCT